TTATAAATAAATAATTCTTTGATGAATATTCATGTACATATATTCTTGAGCAAATGATTGATCTCTTTTATTTTTTAAACTAAAAAAAATTTTATTGGTACATAATCTTTGTCCATATTTATGGGGACATATGATATTTTGTTACATGCGTAAAGTGTGTTATGATCTAGTCGGGGTATTTAGCGTGTCCATCACCTCAAGTACTTATCATTTCTATGTGTTAGGAACATTTCAAGTCCCCTATTCTTGCTATTTTTTTGTTGGGGGAGACAGGGTCTCACTCTGTTGCCCAGGCTAGAGTGCAGTGACATCTTAGCTCACAGCAACCTCAAACTGCTGGATTCAAGCGATCCTCTTGCCTCAGCCTCCCGAGTAGCTGGGACTACTGGCACATGAGACCACCCTGGCTAATTTTTCTATCTTTTGTAGAGATGGGGTCTCATGCTTACTCAGGCTGGTCTTGAATTCTTGATCTCAAGCAATCCTCCCACCTTGGCCTCCCAAAGTGCTAGGATTACAGGCGTGAGCCACCACACCTAGCTTATTCTAGCTATTTTGAATATACAATACATTGTTGTTAACTATTGTCACCCCACTCTGCTATCGAACATTAGAACTTATTTCTTCTACCTGACTGTATGTACCATTAACCAACCTCTTTTTATCCACCCCTCACAAAACACACATCCTTCCCAGCCTCTGGTGTCTATAATCCTACCCTCTACTTCCATGAGATCAACATTCTTAGCTACTGCATATGGGTAAGTACATGCAGTATTTGTCTCTGTGCCTTGTTTATTTCACTTAATATAATGACCCCCAGTTCTATCCATATTGCTACAAAAAACAGAATTTCATTTTTTATGGCTAAATATCATTCCATTGTGTATACATGCCACATTTTATTTATCTATTCACCCATCGATGGACACTTAGGTTATTTCATATCTTGGCTATTGTGAATAGGGCTGCAATAAACATGGGAGTGCAGATATCTCTTTGATATACTGATTTCCTTTCATTTGGACATATACCCAGCAGCAGGATTGCTGGATAATATGGTAGATCTATTTTTAGTTTTTTAAGGAACCTCCGTACTGTTTTCTATAACAGCTGTACTAATTTATATTGCCACCAACAGTGTTCTAGTGTTTCCCTTTCTGTCCATCCTTGTCAGCATCTGTTATTTTTTGTTTCTTTAATAATAGGCATTCTAATTGGGGTAAGATTGTGCTTTTGATTTGCATTGATGTTGGGCGTTTTTTCACATACCTGTTGGTCATTTGTATGTCTACTTTTGAGAAAAGTCTATCCATGTCTTGTGCCCACTTTTTAATGGGATTGTTTGTCTATTGCTATTGTTTGAGTTTTTGTATATTCTGGATATTAGTTCCTTGTTGCATGAATAGTTTGAAAATATGTTTTCCCATTCAACAGGCTGTCTCTTCATTCTATTAGTTGTTTCCTTTGCTGTGCAGAAGGTTTTTAGTTTAATATAGTGTCATTTGTCTATTTTTGTTTTTGTTGCTTGTGCTTTTCAAGTCTTAACTATAAAACTCTTTGCCTAGACCAACGTCCTGAAGTGTTTCCCCTAATTTTTTTCTAATATTTTTATAGTTTCTTGTCTCATGTTTAAGTCTAATACATTTTGAGTTGATTTTTGCATATGGTGAGAGATAGAGGTCTAGTTTCATTCTTATGCATATGGATACCGAGTTTTCCCAGCATCATTTATTGAAGAAGGGGTCCTTTCC